ATGAAACTCATTTCTCCTACCAGTGTGTCATGTTTCTAAAGAAACCAATGGATTACAGGTTTTCCATCTCTCGATTAGAGAGATGTTATTACAGAAAAGGGTAAGATGAAACATTGTTAAGTCTGTTTGAAATGTTTACTTTGAATTTTAAATAAATTATCATTTTTCCCCTGAGATATCCTCAGAGCCTGCTCTTTGTGCCTGGCATATGACAGTGTTGGGTATATATGCTAAGCCAATATCTCTCCTAGTTATAGACTGATCTCCCATGAATCTCCACGCAGGAGTGGTATGAATATGAAACTCTGTCCTGATGATGATACTGAGGCATAGAGTGTCAACTACTTCATTCTAGGCCACAAAACTAAGTGGTAGAGCTGGGATTTGAACTCAGGGGCTTTGATATCAGAAATCATGTTCTTCATCAACCCTTCTGTCTACATATGCTAGGATTCTGGACTAGGCTAATCTGAACAACAAACATAGAGTCAGATAGTTCAGCCTAGGTCAACATAACTGATTGAAACTTGAGGCCATACTTCTGTATTCTTCCTTTTTTTTTTTTTTTTACTGTATTTTGATTTTTCTACAAAATAAGTTTCCTCTTTTTATTCCAAGGGTTTTATTTTTAGATCGTTCTTTATAATCCCTTTGGAAAGAAAAAGTGTACTTCTACATTTAAATAATCAGAATTTTACTGTGTCTAATAGCCTTGTGATTCTTGATTTTTGGCTCCAGGGATTGTACCATCTAGAGGGAACTCAGATAACACAGAAGTGGGATGAATATGGAAACTTTCTTGATACTGAGGCATAAAGAGTCTAAGTATTTCATCCAAGGCCATACAACTAAGCAATAGAACTGGGGCTTCATCTCAGGGATTTTGATATCAGAGATCATCTTTTTGACCCTAGGTTTTGAATCATGTCTTTGAAGGAGACTATATATGACTAATCATGGTAATGCTGTTTTTATAAAGTTTGTTTTATTAGATAATTAGTTTACTCATCACCTCCATTCTGAGTTAGGTGCACTCCTGTGTAGTGGAAAATCAAAGACAAACTTCATAGACTAGTGGAAGACAGGTGAAACAGATGATATCGGGTACTGTCAGGGGATACATGGAGAGGGAGCTGAGCACTAATGCAGCCAGGAAAGGTCACTAGGGCTTCCTGCACTGGCGTTCCCTAGGATGAGTCTTCTAGACAGGTGGAGACAGTGCAGCCGAGACATTACAGAGCATAGGGTGCTCCAGCAGACAGAGCCAGGTGGAGATGGGCAGGAAGGGAAGAGAGTCAGGGCTCATGGGTCCCTTTGGCAATGGTGAAGAGTTTGGAGTTCACGTTGTGAGGGAATGGGGAGCCAATCAAGAGGTACAAGTAGAACAAACATGGTTATATCTTCAATAGTTTGTATGGCAGGTGGGAATGAATTTGAAGGTAAACTAGTCAAAATAAGCCAGTTTATGTGGTAACAGACAAATCTCTACTGTCAGTGACTTTACACAGTTAGGGATAATTTCTTAAGAATATCCAAAGACTGGACTGGGAATGTAACTCAGTGGCACAGTGCCCACCTGGCAAGCACAAGGTTCTGAGTTTGATTCTGAGTACAAAAAATAAAAAAGAATATCCAAAGACTGTAGCTGCCAGGGTGACCCTTCTTTACCAGCAGCCATCCTTCTGGGACATGTGCCCATTACCATCATTGCAGAGCAGAGAGTGGGAAGACTGCAGTCCGGGGCTGGGAGGTGGCTGCCATCTATCTCTTCCTCCTGAGTCTCATGCCCAGGACCTGCCACACGTGGCAGGGCAACACAGTCCACCAGGAGTGGTGCACCTTCCTGTCTCACTTCTAAAGGACCCACACACCTGAAGTTCTTTTGTGTGGTTCGAGGTGAATCTAGGTCTGTCTGTTTGCTCACTGTGAGCCAGCAGGCCCTGTTTTGCACCTGCATGAAGCACCAGCATAGGCAGGGCTATCGCTGAGGCACAGGACAGTCTGTTCATGCTGCACTGTGCTGTGGGTCAGCAGAGAGCCCTACATGGAGAGGGCCAGCTAGTCAGGTCTGCAGGGGACAGGACCCAGGCCACAGAGGTGTGTGAGGATAGGCGTCTGTCATGAACATGAGGCCCATGAATCATTCCATGAGATTTATGACTGGAGAAAGCATGGAGAGCCATGAGGAAGAGACTTCATGATGCCAGGAAGCAGCAGGTGGTGGCAGCACAGGTGGATTCTGCACGCATCTGAGGTCAAGATGCTAATTTTGTAGGTAAAACCATTAGAAATTGGAGACAGGCTGGTTGTGTGACATGAAACAGGACCATGAGCTAGCAGGAGAAGGGAGTGGCTATCAGTGGTGGGGAATGATCCTTGTCACAGGAATGGCTCCTAAACTAACCCCGAGGGGCTCTGTGGAGCACTGGCCCTCCCTATCACTCAGACCCTGAAGCGTCTCCTCTAGAGTGCCAATAGAAAAGTCCCTCACAAGCAGGGCTTAGCTCCACACAGGGCCTCCACTGACAAGACTGCATATCTATCTACCTAACAAGAAAACCATTCAGTAGAAAATTACGTAAAAACCACTTTTGAAGATAAGTTAGAAAATACGAATCTACATTTGATGGATGGGGATACGCTACAATTTGTTTACATTTTGTTAGGGGTATGTTTGATTTATAGGACATGCTTCAAGGCTTTCTTATAGAGATAAACTGCTTAATTGGTTTACTCTTATGATTGTGTTTGTCCTGTAAGACACTGAGTTAGGGAACCAGTTTGCTTTGGCAGTTTGCTTCATTCACTGGCTGTGGACTAATAGGCCAGGGTGATGGAGATTCTCTCCTGCCAGCTCTGCTCAGACCCCTGAGCCTTCTGTGTAACTGGGCCTCAACTTTGAGGCACCTACATTAGTCTCCATATTGCCTAGTTTTAACGAAAATCTGGCTATGTCCATGCAGCCCAAATCTCTCTTCCTCTGATAACAGAGAGAGTTTTCTCCCTCTCTTTTGCCTGGATGGATCTGCTCACCCTGCGCTGCCGTCGGCAAGAACCCTATCAGGCGACCCTCAGCCAGAACCTCCTGACTCTTTAATAATTTCTACCCAGGTGACCTTTAATAATTTCTACCCAGTGACCCATGTCCCTCACCTACCACTGTGGCCTCTTTGCTTTATATAATAAGAAGTTTGGATTTTACCCTTTAGGTAAAATAAAGACAAAGATGTTAAAAATGTGGAATAATTCTTTAGGGAGGAAGTGCTGGTAAGGACAAAAGGAAGCCACAAGAAAGCAAGCCAATGGCAAAGCACCTGTCACTTTAATGCTCAGGAGCCCCAGAGAATCTGGTTCTTGGACCGGAGCCGTGAGCACAGATAATAAAAATTAAAACTTTGTGGTTATGTTTTGTTTTGCTTGTGCAATCCCAACTTCCAACATTAATTGTTTCTCCTATTATGCAAAGAAATCAGTGGCCCCAGAAAGGGGTAATGATACATGACATCTATCTTCAGGGCTGTGGGGAAAGAGCACTACTGTTTTCACCTAAATTGTCTCTAGAATTCACCTTGCCCATGTGATCAGAAGCTCCTGTGGATAACACACGGTCATGCACGTGCAGGGGAGAGGGGGAGAGGGCATCAGACAGCGTCCACAGCCAACCCCAAACACCGGTTTACAGAGGCAGTGGCAACGCATAGCAAAGTGTGCACTAAAACCTCCAATGCAAAAATACAAGGCATGCTATGAAGAGGGAAGTGAGATATAAATATTACATAGCCTACAGAGGAGAATATCCAGAACATATTCTAGAATTTTCTGAAAATTAAGTAAAATTCAAGGAGTCCCGCAAAACAAAATCAGCAAAATATTAACAGATAATTTTACACTCAACAGAGTGCTAATCTTCCAAAAGGAAGGATAAACTTGAGTCATCTGTAGGAAAACAGATGCACTTTGAGATTATAATGTTAGGTGAAATAAATAAATCACAAACACAAGTTTAAATATTCATGGCTTCTCTTATATGGAAACCCAAAATATAAATAAACAGCAAAAGGAAAGAATGGAAAGTAAGGAGATAGATCTTTTGTAAAAGGGAAGGGGACCAATAAATGGAGGGAAGGGGAAGGGGAGAAGGGGATGAAAAAAGAACTGAGATGGGTTATACACATGGATCAATGCCTTATGAAAAATATAATCATTACGTAATGCAAACATAAACTAACAAAACTACAAATTAAAAAGAAGAAAAAATGTGACTTAATTTCTTCAAGATATAAAGGAAAAAACCATAGGTAATCACAGAAGATAAGACCTAAGCTCACTGGGTTTGTCTGAAAGGGTGTCCAGCTGCCTAGTACAACAACTCCACTCATCTCTGCAAGGAAGTGCACTGACATTTTGAAACAGCACACAGTGAAATGCCATTCTATGTCTAACATTAGAGCCTTTGCACAATACCAAAAAGAACAATATGTCTAAATGCAAACATTTGGTTATCTAGATGGGGAGCATATACACAATTGACTACCTCTTATGTTTTTCTATATTTTGAAATATTTCTTAATAAAAATGTACATTACAATAATTTAACCATCTTGTTCCATAAAAAAGTGTATCCGTCTGTCTCTTTCATGAGGTGAAATGTAAGGGAAACATTAAGTTCAGGGAACAGGAGTGGCTGTACTCTCATCTGGTCCCATATCTGCCACTCACCCACTGTGTGACCCTGCAGAATTGCTTACTTCTCACAAAGCTGATGTCTGACATGAAAATCCTGCATAGCAATATCTGCCTTTACTGCATAAAGTTAAAGTGAGTTAGTTCACATATATGAAAACGATGCCCAAATGTGACCAAAGATTATGAAAATGCGCAAGCCTATAGTTAAACATGAAAGTAAATAGGCATAGTTTCCTGTTTAGCATCACTATAAATTTTGGAAACAAACATTAGGAACAGAAAAGCAGTGATCAGAAAATGCACATCTCTCTCACCGGGTCTATGAGCTGGCAATAGAGCTCGTGGCAGTTGTCGAAAATGTATTTGTAGGTGGAGTCCAGGCAGGCACGGACGCAGTCCTTCACAACCATGCTGGCCCGAGGTGGGCTCTGCAGCTCCAGAACCTGCAGACAGATTGGACCCTTCAGCACATGGGAAGACTGCAGCCTTGTCAAAATCCCAAACAGCATCCAACGATGCTTTTAGTTTATCGTCTACATGAAGGAAACATTTATACATAGCCAGTATACAAGTAGTCATCATGCCTTTTTGATGTAACATTTTCTTGAAAATGTTCTTAGTTGTGAACATTCAAAGAGAAACACCACAAGGGACCAGTAACAACATCATGCATTCATTTGGCTCCATTCACTCATTCAACGAATATTTGTCACTATGTGTCAGATAACAGTGATATTCAGTAAACAAAATAGAGAAAACTTTTTTCCCAGGTTTAAATTTCTGAAGGTAGTAAGGTAGGTAATCAACTGTGTTATGTGGTTCATGTTGACCCAAGACAGGAAATGTTTTGGGAAGTAGGAACGGTGCAGGGAACAGTGTCAGCGGAGGGAGTCTGAGGAGGAGCGTGAGGAGAATGGAGACGCGGAGGCCCAGTGGGGCTCTCTGAAGACCTTGGCTCTGACTCAGATGGAAAGATTGGGACACTCTGGGCAGAAGGGCAAAGTGGCCTAACTTGATTACTTTTAAAAGAGACCCCTTAAATCTTCCCCACCAGAATGGCCTCACACACATGATGCATAAGGGAGAAGAAAACAACCATCATCAAGAAAACATGAAAAGTGTAAAACTCACTGGAAGATGAACATACAAAGAAGAAAAAGAAAACAATCTTATGGATCAGAAATACCACCCCAACACAAAGACAACAAGAGTAGAAGAACAAAGGATAATCATGATAAATAGAAGAAAAGTAGTAAAAACAATCGCCAGTCTTACACATCAATACAAATGTCGAATGTAAATGAATGAAACTATCTGATTAAAGGATTTATATTTGGCTGAATGGATAAAACAAGATCAATGACTTGCTGCCTATAAAAACTTGCTTCATCAATAAACACACAGAAATGAAACCAAAAGCAGACAGAAGAACCTGCATTTGTACCCAATAAAATATACATGAAGATAAAAACTTTAAAAGAGACAAAAAGGTCTCTGTATAGTGATTGAGGGATCAAGTCAAGATCTAAAAATTGCTAATATATGTGATCCAACACTTGAACATCACTTTTATAAACAGAAATTGTATCTAAATGGAGAGACAGGCTACAATATAATAATATTCAAGGATTCCAACACTCCACTTTCCTCAAAGGGTAGATCATTCATACAAAAAGGTCAGCTGAACTACACTGTAAACCAGGTGGCCCCAAGAGACATTTACAGAATATTCTACCCAACAGATGCAGAAAACACATGCATCTCACTGTACTCAGAGCATGCTTCCAGACAGGTCATAGATGAAGTAAGAAAGTCAGGCTTAAAAAGACCAAAATGATTTTTATGGATGTTATTGACTATAATGGAATAAAACTGGAAAATCAAAAAAGAAGTAAATTTTAGAAATTGTACAAAATTTGAAAGTTAAACAATGGGCCATTAAAAAATGAAAGGGGAAATTTAAAATTTCTTGAACCTATGGGATGAAATGGAAAAGTACTAAGAGGGAAAGTTATAGCAAGATATGCCTACAGTAAATCCAGACCCAAAATTAGTAGAAGCATAGATAAAAAGAGCAGAATAAAAATAAAAAATAGAAACTAAAACATATCCAAAGAATTAATGAAATAAAGTGTTGATTTTCTGAAAAGATAGTCAAAACGAACAAATCTTTACCTAGCCTAACCAAGGTAAATAAGAAAACTGACCCTTATGACCAAAATTTAGAGATGAAAAGTGAGACATTACAACTGACAACAATAAAACCAAGAGGCTTTGGGGAGTATTGTGAATAGCTCTAAGCCAATAACCTGGAAAACCTTGAAGAAATGAGTGCATTTCTAGACAAATAACCTATCAAAATTAAATCATAAGACACAGAAAAGCTGAACAGACTATTAACTAGAAACTATATTTAATTAATAATGAAAATTCTCTCATAAAGAATTACATCTGTATACCACCATGCTTAGCCATTTGAAGATCTGAAAGAAGATCTGAAAGGAGATAAGGATGTCCATTTTTATTATTCTTATTTAACTTAGTACTGAAATTTCAGCTAGAGCAACTAAGCAAAGAAAATAAATGGAAGGCATACAACTAGGAAGGGAAGAGGTCATATTTTCCTGTTTGCAGTGACATGACTAAATATACAAAAGCTTAAGACTCTACCGAAAGACTGTTAGAACTGATAAATTCAGCCAAATAGCAAGAAAAAATAAAAATACAAGTCTGTAGCTTTTCTATACATCAGTAATGGACTTTTTGAGAAAGAAGTTATAAAAGCAATTCCACTTATAGTAGCTACAGAAAAACAAAACACTTAGTAGTAAATTTAACCAAGGAAGTGTCTCTACAATGACAACTGAAAAACACTGACAAAAGAACACAAAAATAGAAAGACTTTTTGGGTTCACAGATTGGAAGAATTTATATAAAAGTTTCCATATTGCTAAGTGCAATTTAAAGATTCAACCCAGTGCTTATCAAAGTACCAATTTTATTCTTCACAGAACTCAAATAAACAGCCTTAAAATTGATGTACAAGCACAAAAGGTGGAATAGCCAAATAAACCTTGAGGAAAACTCCAAAACATCAGGCATCACAGTGTCTGAGTGCAAGACTTTCCATAGGAAACTGTCACCAAGACAGCGTGGTATTGGTATCAAAACCAAGGTGGAAACTTGGCAATAGAACAGAAGTGCCAGTTGTGAGCCCGTGCACCACAGGCCAGCTGAGCTCAGCTGAGATGCCCAGAACATACACGTCAGTAAGTGGTGCTGGAAACATGCGATTACACAGGCATGCAAAGTAAACTTGACCCCTGTTTCTCACTTTCTACAAGAACCAGTTAAACACAGACCAAAGGCCTACATATAAGGCCTAAAACTATGGGGCAAATATAGTAGGACATCTGTATACGCAATGATGTTTTGGCTAAGATCACAAAAGCAAAAATCGACAATCGAATTCCATCAGTCTAAGGATTTTCCCATAGCCAAAGAAGTACTGAACAGAAAAAAAAAATCACAGCTACAGAATGATATAAAATATATATAAGCCTTCATCCAACAGAAGATTAATATCCAAGGAAGCTCAGAAGTTTGACAAAAAGCCAAAAAATCAAATTAAAATGGGCAAATCATCTGGTTACTTCTCAAAAGAAGCACCAATGGCTAAATATGTGAAAAAATAGCCAATATTGTTAGCCATTGAGAAAATGTAAGTCAAAACTACATGAAACAGCACCTCAGGAGTCAGAAAGATATTATTGAAAAGGGGAAAAATGACATAAATACTGGGAGGAGGCAGAGCAAAAGGCACTCTTAGATGCTGTTGGGGGGAATGTAAATTAGGGAGAACTGTGTGGAGATCACACAGAAAACCAAAAGTCAGTCTACCACAGAACCCAGCCCTTCCCCTTTAGGGCATTTAAAGAAATAATTCAGAATATCAAAGAGACACTGGCCTCCCAAGTTTAGAGCATCACTCCTCATAATAAGAAGAGAAGACTTGGACCACAGGGCCAGGACCTCAAGTGCTTAGAAGGAAGCTAAGTGTGGGTAGCTACAGCAGGAAAAGCCTCTGAGATTTGCTGGCCATGTGGAAGACTGGTACAGAAGGAAGAGAGCATTCTGGCTGGCCTGGCAACTGGGCCAATGCTGGTGGCCTCTAACTTGAAGGGAAGCCTGTGGCTGGGAGGTCAGGACTCAGTTAGGACAGTGTAAAATGGGGAGGTCAAAGGAAGGAAAGTCACTTCCCAGTTGCTGTTATGACAAATGAATCTGCAGTAAGAGATGCCTTAGTTTAAGGTATAAATTGGGAAATTATAAAAAGCTTAAAAAGGATTTCAGAAAATACCAGATGAGGGTGGATAGAGACAAGACGAGCAAACAGGTCCGAGAAGAATGTAACTCTAACCCCATGATATCAGGCACAGGAAAGGACACAAAGAGGAAGGTTCACAAAGAAACGAGACAGGAGGAAATCAGAGAGGGGACATCCTGGAAGTCTCAGGAGGAAGGCAGTTCCCTGAGGAAGGAGATATGGAATGTTTTAAACTCTGCAGGGTGTTATAAAGGGGGCATCCAGAACTGGCCACCACAGCTGTCCAAGTGATCACTATCAGTGACCTTATCAAAATTATTTTTGGTGAACTGGTGGTATAAAACTCTGATTACAGAAGATTCAAAAATCCAGGTGGGTCTGACGATTTAACATTGCTAAAATGTCTATTCTCTTCAGGTTGACCCAGACGTCATGCACTCTCCATCACAACCAGGATAAGAACTAACATCTCCTAAACCATGGTGACAAAGAAGAAAAAAATGAGAACCCGCACTTTATAGTTTTAAGATTTGGTATAAAGCTACAGTAATCAAGATGGCATGATAGATGTGGGAGTACAGAAAATTGAACAGTATAGAGAGCTCTTAAGTAGACACAAAATATACAGTTAATTGATTTTTTATGTTAATACAAAAGCAGTTCAATGAAGAAAATCTTTTCAATAGATGGCACTGGAACAATTATGCATAAATATGCAAAAATATCCGTGATTCCTATTTTACATTTTATTGAATAAAATCCACCAAAACCCTAAGTGGAGCACTGGCCTAAACAGAAAAGGTAAAATAAAGTGGCCATGGGGGCACACACTCTGGTAGGCTGGGGGACAGGAATTATAAATTTGAGCTCACCCCGGGCATCTTAACAAATTAGAGAGGCTCTATCTTAAAATTAAAAAAATGACTGGGGATGTATCTCAGTGGACAGGCCCTGGGGTCTACGCCCAGTACTAAACAAACAATTAGTGGAAAAAAGTAGAGCTTAGGAGAAAGAGGAGAAACTGATTTTGGTTTAGCTAAAAGCAATATCCATAAATGGAAAAATTGATAAGTAACAAATTATGTCAAATATGCTCATGGGAATGGAAGGACAAAGCCTAGGCAGGAAGAAAATATTAGAAAATGGAGTATCTGATTAAAAAAACCTGTGTCCATAACACTTAAAGAACTCTCAAAACTCAAGGATACTGTATTCTCAAAGAGTGTCAGATTGTAACTCTTCTCACCCAGGAATGGTAACTCCACAAGGTAATGAATATGCTGAATTAGCTAGGTTTAGTCATTTCCACTGGGTTCATATTTCAAAACATTATGTATTTAATAAATACATAAAATTTTGTCCTTGAATCAAAAAATCAAAAGCTCAACAATAAGAAAATAAGAAAACATTTCCATAGATTCTTCATGAAAGGAGATATTCAGATAGAAAATCAGTTCAAGTAAAGGTGAACAAAATTGTTAATTTAGAGAAATAAAATTAAGGCTAACACAGGATACAACTGCATTCCAATAGGAAGGGTGGGAGGACAGGCAGGGAATGCACAGTATGTTCTCTGTGGAGGTACGTGGGGCGGGGAAGGTGACAGGCCAGGAGGCTGGACATACAGGGCAGGAGCAAGATGGGGTGGTACAGGGTGTGCGGGTGGGAACCTGAGGAGGATCTCCTCTCAGCCCTGTTTTTGTTATTTTGTTTTCAGGGAATTAAGAAGCAAAGTCAGCTGCTGATGGTGTGGGTGGCTATGGAAGCGCAGGCCTGGGACCCAGCATTTCCTCAGATGGTGGCACCAGGCCTGGGCCTGGCAGGGCTCACACTGCGGCTGCCCTGCTCTCCTCCAAGTCCCTCCCTGGCAGAACCAGGAGGCCTCTGGGTCCCTCCTGGCCACCTCCTGTCTCACTGTCACCCTACACCCTCTGAAACCAATCCTAACCAAGAGGCCATAGTGGGCATCACAGGGCTTGTCCAGCTCCAAGGCAGTGCTGGTCACTGATATAGTGTGCTTTTGTTTTCTGTCTGTGATATTCTAAAACACCATTTTTAATCCTTTGGTGAAAAAATCATTGATAGCTAAAAAGAAAATAAAACCATTTTTTTTCTGTCCCACAACTTTCTGTAAAAGCATCACCACTTCTTTTTCCAGGAGTGAAAGTATTTAACGGGTAGCCTGGCAAGCTGTATTTGGAAAGACTTCCCCTAATTGAAACAGTGGTCAAAATTATGATTTTAAAGACCCTGCTATTACAGCAGAGGAGATGGATCTAAGAAGACATGCTTTAATAGTTTGGTAGTTAATATCCAATTACACCAATGGATTTTGTGATCAATATGTTGCTATATATGCAATGCCATGGCTGAAAACAGAAGTGCCTGTCTCTGGGAAAATAAGTCAGCTACTCTCCTACAACAGTAAGCCAGACATCTAAGTTAGAGTTGAAACAAGTGAACTCCATTTCCATTTATCTCTCTTTGGGATTTTTTTTTTAATGTTCCATATTCACTGAGAGCTCTGAGATAAACTGAATTTCAAACCACATTTGAGCCACGAATCAAAGATAGCTTTTCCTTGATGCTGTTTGGGTGGAACAGTCTCTTGGCTCAGACTTATGACTGGCACTGAGCCACACTGACCAGGGACGTGTCCTGAAGTCACCCAGACAGTGACAGGAAGTGGATGGCCAATACCTTCATCCTGAAGAAGGCGATGCTGGTGAGCAGGTCCACTGTGGACTTCAGGTCCTGCAGCCTCTCACTGTTGCTGGCGGGAAAGTTTTCCTGGTAAACAGAAAATGGAAAATGGGTAAAATTTCCAGTGGTGGTGGTGGTGGGGACTAAAACTAGCTAGTAATGAAACAGAAGCAAGCAAACACATAACATTTTTTAAAAATCCCTAAAGTGTTCCTAAAATATCTTACGTAAAAAACAAAAGACATGGAAATATGTACTCTTCTTTGTTTTGGAAAGTATTGATTCATCCTCACTATTCGATAAAGATGCACAAAACCATGTTATTGAGATGTTATGATAATTCTTGCTCATAAAATAGTTCCTCCACAAAAGGAAGAGAGGGTGGCATATATTTTGTGATTTTCTGAAGACAGGGGCTTTTACTTTCAAAAGTACTTTGAACATTGTTCATGCAATACATTTACTTTCAGTCAAAAAGAAACTTTTAAAAGAAAGATGTAAGATTGTTCTAAACAGTCTCTTCGGAAGTACTGTAAATTTCAACAAAAAGTTTCTTTTAGAGATTTGGTGAGAAGAACTATTTAAAAATACAGATGTTCATCATTTTGCAGGAAAGGGAAGGTATAATTACGAAATTTTTGAATGGAGAAGCAGTTTTAATACTGAGAAATTTCTTCTACTAATTTTCTTTCAGCCTGACTTTGCAAAGAGTCATCTGGAAAGATAAGTGGCTTCCAGACGTTTCTAGGACATGGTGGGAATCTACGTGACAGTGAGCCCTGGGCTCATGCCCCTTTGTGCTCCCAAATAGCCTTGCCATTGCCTGGCATGGTGACTCTGCCCAGGATGGTGGCCCCAGTTCCAAGATGAATTGTGAGCTGGATAAAGCCTGACTTACAATTTCCAGAAATACTCAATTAGGCATGTCATAAGAGACCAATTAAACATAAATGCAGAGCATATATTTAGGGTAAACTGTTCAGGAGGTAAGATACCCATGAGTATCTGTAGTTATCACTAGTAATTTTGTAATTAAAATGTGTAAGTGAATTTTTTGTAACTAAGCCACTTGGTAACTAAACTGGTGTTTATTTGCACACGCATTCCACATATATGAATGTGTGTTTGTATAGGTGCATGCGTTTCACCTGGTTGTGGAATAGAATTGTGGCCAATGAACTCTGGACAGCTTATACTGATAGAGGAGGAGAGAATTCATAATGATTAAACAGTTATGACGGTAGAGCAGTACACACACAGGGAGTGCTAGGGTTGTAGTTTAAAGGGGCAAAGCAGTGGACAGGAGAGAAAAGGGCACAAGGAGCTGCAGTGTGGCAGGATGTGAAACCGGCACAGTCACATTTCCTGTAAGCAGTGGTTAGGGTTACACGATGACAACGAATCACATGGAGCAAGCACAGCAGTTTACCTTCAGGACGAGATTCTGCACATACCCGATATTTTGACAGGTCAATCCGTAGAGAGTTATGCAACTGGTCCAGTAGTTTTATGAATTTTTCCCTCTGTTCCAAGAAAACACAAAATAGGAGGGTAGAATTAAATGCCACTCTAAATTTAATCCTCACAATTATTTATATTAGTCATCATTCCCACTTTAGAGAAAGGAAGGACTGAAGATGTCAGGAACTTGACCAAGATCAAGAACTACTCAGTTTTCTCTAAACTAAATCTATCTCTTCCTGCTCTGTCACACTGCATCACATAATGAAGAAGAAAGGTGCCCAGAGCATAGCATTCTGCAGGCTACGCCCCAGCAGATGCGTCCTCACCGCACACTCAGAAGGGTGCAGTGCCAGTGAGCAAGGATACAGCACACCAGCCTCGCCCACCCAGGACACACACCGCAGAACCGGAGACTGCACCTGTGAAGTGAGATCAGCTGTAGCTGTATATCAAACACAATTTCCTTTTGGAGGCAAATATGAAGTTCATCATCTAAAGGGACTGACTGCCTGCAGAGGAAGCTTATGTCTTGTTGTTAAAGGAGTCTAAATATCAAGCTCTCCAGGTAGTGGCTGCTCCTCGGATGCTATGACAGGCTAGGTGGTCCTCTTGATAGGTGTGTTGGGAGGTGGTAAGAGTAAGACATTTTGCTAACAGGCAAACGTTGAAATTGTGTGAATTAAACACAAGTAAGGCAGAGACAGGCAAACCACACATGCAGACCTCCAGATAGACATTCCATTACTCTGAGAGTTAGTTTTCTTATCAAGAAAACTTTTAGAAACGGGACTATTGCGGCCATCAATCTTGACGTATCCACCTCACTGGATTAATAGGTGCCTAGCAGAGTGCCCTGGTTGTGTATGTCCAGGTGAATCCTGGAGGTGCGGGATCTAAGTTACTTTGGAAACTTGTAACCCTTTGGAAACTTTGGAAAATGTAACCCTCTACTCTTTCTCACACGTCGCTCATTTCTGAGTCTCTTGCCAGTGTTGAAACCCCTGGATATCTTTCTGAAGGGCACTGGTTTTCCTCTCTCCTCACAGCTCGGTGGGCCTGAAGGGGCTCTGCGCAGTCAGAGCAGCCTGTTGGCTCCCTGCTTTCCCACACCCTTCCTCTGTGGCATTCTTCTCTAGCTTTGCCTTTAGAAGTCCATGAGGTGAATAGCTCTGTTTCACCACACCCTTACTCTGTGATGTTTCTGCCTTGGAGCAGCCGACCATGGACCGAGTCCCACTATACTGTGAGCTAAATTAAACCTGTCCCACTTTAAATTGGGGATGTCAAGCCTTTTGTCCCAGTGATGGGAAATTAAGACATGAATAGGATTAATTGAAAAAAAATTTCTGCTACATTAAATCTCTAGAAATACCAAATTACATTCTGGAAGACACTGACAAAATAGTTTCCTAGTATTTTCACATAGGAGATGGGTTTTTGGGACATATAATTGACATCCCTTAATTTATTGATCTTAATAGAGTGAACTGAATATTATTAACAGGACCTAAAGAATTGTTTCTATTGGGCAATGGGATTCTACTCTTCAAGAGTTTGTTGCAGATTCTTTGTTAAGTAGAGCTTTTGATCTTTTCTGCTTTTGCCTTCTGTACTTTTCCTCTTTTCTCATCCTCAATTCAGATAGGAAGATGGAGCCTATTCCAGGTCTGTAATGGGAAAAACTAAATCATCCGGAAAACATGCTGTGCCCTGCCACTGTCCAGCCTCACTCTCCCACAATCAGTCCTGAATCCTCCTGACTGTGGCTCCATGCAAGAGTCTCAGGTAACCAAGGGTGTTTACATGTTACCTGAGTTTTTCCTCCTGTGGTTAACATGCATCTCACATCTGGGACCTGCTCAGGTTTTCAGGGCCCATCTGGGAAATTCTCATTCAAGGAAAACGAAATTGGAGGGAACTGCTGAGTTTGGCAAAGATTCCAAACATTATCGAATGATGTGCAATGAAAAGTGCGCTTTTCAGAGATTTTCTTAAATTTCCAGAGATTCTCTTAAACATCAGGGACAGCTGAGACATGAATAGACCTGACTTCCCACTCTCTCTGTAACTAGTGGGCTTGCTTGTGCAGGACAGGGGGCTGAAGTGAGGAGAAACACAGTGAGGAGAAACACAGGACAGTTACACGTTCCCTGGACCACATCCCAGATCAGTGTGGCCTGTCTTGGCAGTGGAGGGGTCTATCAGTAAGCAGCGATCAATCATGATTGTGGCAATGCTAAGTGTAATCATTCACTCAAAACTGAAGTTTCATTAATTGATGAGAATACTGAGGCTAGGTCAGCACACTGTCTAAAAGGCCTGGAAAGTAGCTTCACTGACTTTACCAACTGCATCCCAACCACTCTGCTCTGGAATTCATAGGACAGCTATTATAGACAGCATGTAAACACACAGGCACAACTGCTTTCCAAAGCAGCTCTATTTACAGACACTGAAATTCAAATTGTGTATCATTTTCTTGCAACACAAAATAATAATCTTTGAATTTTTTTTCAACATGTAAAAATGTAAAGAGCATTCTTAGCTGATGGGCCACACAGAACCAGCTGATGAGCAGGATCAAGCCATGGCCTGGGAGAGGCAGGTGCCACCCCTGAACTTCAGGCTCAGGAAGCTTCCAGCACCCAGGGACTGTGGGTACAACGCCTCTGCGCACCATTGCTTCTCCCGCCCACTCCTTTCCTGATGCAGTTGTGCTCACTAAGTCAACCTCTGCATCTCCTAGCCTGACTAAACTTTGGAAAATGTAACCCTCTACTCTTTCACATACGTCGCTCATTTCTGAAAGTCTCTTGCCAGTGTTGAAACCCCTGGATATCTTTCTGAAGGGCACTGGTTTTCCTCTCTCCTCATAGCTCAGTGGGCCTGAAGGGGCTCTGCGCAGACAGTCAGAGCAGCCTGTTGGCTCCCTGCCTTCCCTACAGGAGAAAGCTGATCTTTCCTTTCGCATATCAGTTTCACTGGGGTACTTGGATATTTATGGCAGGAGCCTCCTGCAGTGCTTCACATGATGCTGTGAAATTGACTCTTAGGTTAAGCTTCTCTCTGCTTGAAGTTGCAAGAATGATTTCTGTTACTCCAACTGAACCCCTATTACACACATGCCACCTCACAGCCACACTAACTCAATGGCATGGTCTTCTTTCACCGGAAATCCATCCCATCTTTGGCTTCAGGAATTCATCCACACATCTCACCCACCATAGAGGCTCTCACTGACCAGTAGCACCACTGGTATCTATCTAGCAACCCCACCTCTCCTTGGCCTTCATCTGTTATCCTCCCTGCCCAGGCTGGCTGCCTTATGTGTACTTTCTTGAACTTACTTTACACCTTTACTTCTTTTGTCCTTACTCAACTGTCTTCTGAGGCCTTTGCTAGTTTTTCCACTGGACTTTGAACTTGAAAATCTGATCATCATTCCTCTGTCAAGCTGAGTCCCAGGAAAGACTTTGTTTGGGACTTTGTTCCTCTTTCATCCCAAAGCATTCGCCAGTTCTGTGTAAACTCCTCTGAGACCTCTTACATGTTAAGAGTGATTCATGGGTTCCGCGCCGTGCTGGGAGTGCACGCTGTGCGGATTCCTCACCATTCCGCGCCGTGCCGGGAGTGCACGCAGTGCAGATTCCTGACCGTTCCGCGCTGTGCCGGGAGCACGGGAAAGGTGGGCGGCGTGGACCCTGGTGAGTACTGGGGACCCCGCGGCTGCTGGGGTTGGCCAGAGAACGTCTTGGAACTGGGCAGTGCCTGCCACCATGGGGACATCAATATCACAGAGTCTGGTGGCAGCCATTTTACAGTTGGGCAGAACCTACAGCTTGGTGGCATCACTGAGTCCCCCTGTAGGGAGGGCTGGTGGAAGGCATCTTGAAATTGGGCGGAGCCTGAGTACGTGTTGGCTTCAGTGTCATACAGAGAACTAGTGGGAGACATCTTGAATTTGGGCAGTTCTGCTGTTCTGGTGCTCCTGTCACAGAGGGGTCTGGAAGAGAACAGCTGGGATTTGGGCAGGACCCTGTGCCATAGTGACATTAATCAGCTGGCTTCTGGTACAAAGAGAACCAGCAGGAGCTACTGGGGCTAAACCAAGCCTCTGCTTGGGGCCCAACAAGCAGATACAAAATAGTCACAACTCAGTGACATCCAGAAGGTACAGCCTAATTTACGGATTGACTGGCACAGAGGCTGGAGGCTAGCCTGCATTGTCCCTGCATCCCTGCCTACCCCAGATAACAGCAAATTGGGGAGGACAGCAAAAACTCAAGTCAGCAAGCTTCTGAAAGGCCCCAAGCAATTTGGAGAGGGCCAGAGAACCCCAGGACAGTCTGAAAGAAACCTGACAAGAAACATGACAAGAGATAAAAATTAAAAAAAAATCTCCAGCTGCCCAACATGAGAAAATAAGCCCAGGAGAAGTAAACACTGAAGAGAACAAGCACAGTAACCATCCATTGCTCGACACAGCATCAGCCGAAATTAAAAAGTACCTTCATGATCTCATAGAAGAATTTAAAGCTGTACTTCTGATTCAAGTGAGACAAGATATAAAGAGATTAATTAAAGAAATGACAAGCCCTGCCCAAGAGAACACAGATGGAAGAACTGAGGAAATCAGAAAAGAAAGAGAAACTTCTGAAGAAGAATTTAAACATAACTTATAATGCATGAAACAGATCCAAAGAGAATACCAGGAAACTAAAAACTCCATTGAACACTGGCAAAATGCCTTGACAGAAACTAAAGACAGCCTTCTGAAACTTGAAGAGAGATTTATGGCGTATGATCGTGAAAGAAAAAGCCTCTTAAAAATAACAAGGAACCAGAAAGAAGCAATTCAAAAATTAGAAGATGACAAAAAGATACATAACTTAAGAATAAAGAATGTGAGTGAGGAAGCAGGAGCAACCAAAAATGAAATACAAAGAATATTCACAGATATATTAAAGCAAAATTTCCCATATTTAGCAAAAAGAAATGATATCCAGATAAAAGAGGCATACAGAACACCAACTACCTAAAACCAAAACAGATCTACACC